GCTTGTGGAAATAGGCATTTTTTTAAAATAAAGTTATTTTGTGTTCAAGTTTATTAAACTTGTGACTAATAACCCAGAATGTGGTAGTGCTGGGTTTCTTTTCTCTCGACTAAAAGGCTTAGGGTTCACTCCAATTAAATTGGGCTGCGCAGGGCTGGGGATGTGGCTCAAGTGGTAGCGCGCTTGCCTGGTATGCTTGTGGCCTGGGTTCGATCCTCAGCACCACATACAAATAAAGATGTTGTATCCGCCGAGAACTAAAAATAAATATTAAAAAAATTCTCTCTCTTTAAAAAAAAAAAAAAAAATTGGGCTGCGCAAAATAACCACACAAGATTGTGTCTCTTTTTGTTTGGGGTCGCTGTGACAGCTCCTCTGACCAGAGCAGGAGCTGAGCCCTTTTATTGAGGAGAAGCTATTCAAATGAGGCAAGGGTCAAGTTTCAGGGGGCTGAGTCTATCTTCATGATGTCCACTGTTAGCAGGTTGACTGACACCTGGGTAGGCCACACCCTAGGGCACAGTAAGAGAAGGGGACACACACAAGGCACTTCCATGGAAAGGGTTGTATTACAAAGGAACAGGTGAGCATAGCTCCACCCATGGGGCTGTAGCAAGACACACCCATGCATGAGACAATGACCCTTGAATCCAAGAAGGGTGGGGAAAGCTCTGCCATATTTCTGTGACTGAGCGCTTCAGCACCCAGCCGGGGAGTGTGACTCAGTCACGTGTAAGGTTGGTCTCCCACATGGTAGATCATTTCCAAATGTGGCTGCCATTGATTTTTTTTTAACCTTTTAAATTTTGCCTGTGAGTCTTATTTTTACCAAGAATGTGTCAAAAGTATGCCACCCTTGTTCCTCACCTAGCTTTCAAAAAGATGGGCAACTCTATGTTCTCCTAATTTGAAACTAGCTGCTATTTAAGAAATTAGCTAGACTTTTGAAAGGATTGTGGAGGAACAAATGAATGAAGCTTCTTGAACCACCCTGTCCAGCACAGTTGCTGGCCGAATAGAGATAAGTCAGTTAAAGCCACGTGGAACAAAAGAATTGCCCCGCAGAACTCTCCCTGATTTCCTGCTCACAAAATTGTGAGAAATAGTCAATTGTTGTTTTAGGCCACTATGTTTTAGAGTGGTTTCTTACACAAAAGTATATATCCAATACACAAGAGTATTTATTGAAATGGAAAAATGCATACTTTTTGACACAGTTAAACTACTCTTAGAAATCTTTACCTTAGAAATAACAAAACCATTGAAAACAGTCTCTTTTACTGAGTGGAGTATGGTTGAATAGATTTTGGTACATCCATATCGTGGGATATTAATATCATTGACAAGAATTGGGTGATCTCTTTGAGATGTTCATGGTACACTGTTAAAAATGTAAGTTGCAAAATAATATGTATAAATGCATTTTAAAGGATTAAGACTAAAACACATAAATACAGGCTTCTTTATGTTCTTATGAACTTAGAGAAAATGTAGATGATATTTGTAAAACTGTTAATATTGAATTCATGGAGAAGTGTGCACAGAGGTGAACTCTGAGTATGGAGATGAGAAACTGATGTGACTTCATTTTTGAAAATAAATAAATAACAGCAGCTTCTACCTCAAGGCCTGTCCTAAGGAAGGGAGCTTGACCCTTGTCCTTGGAAAAACCCACAGAGCCTTTCTAGGCACATACCTACCCTGCTGAGTTGCTTGTCTGCAAATAACAGGAGAGATATGCAGTGCCAGGTGTCCCTGACTCAGGCTAGGTGAAGACCCATAGTAACCCCCTAGCAACCACCAATCAGCATGAGACAGGGAAAATACTTGGGATGCCAGATGATCCCCAGTAGTTTATGGTGGTTGATAACATGTTGGGAAACCATGTAGTTTAGCATGTACACCCCTCGTGGCTTAAACCAATCTGTTCAAAGGAATCCCCCTCTTTTACTAACCAGTCACCCCTACCCAACTTGTTCCCACCAGTGAATGTGCTAATCAATGTTAAGAGGAGTTATTTGATTTTCCTGCTGTATGGAATGATTTGCTGTGTGATGTTGTGACACATAGAGTATCACCACAAAACCTATAAAATCTCTCTGGATAAAGGACCAGGACTCACTCCCTGGGACCTCTGCATCGGAAATGGTTGTGAGTCCAGGCTCAAGCTTGCAATAAAGACTCTTGTGTGATTGCATCGGATCAGAGTTCTATTGGGGTCCCACGAATCTGGCATTACAGAGACTGCAAGTTTTATTTTTTTGTATACTTTTGCAGTTGGGTTGTTGCTAGGAGCAAAAGCTGSTTTTGTCTGGAAGAAAAATCCAATAAAATATTTAAAGAAAAGGAAAAAAAAAAACCTCAAACCATTTTTGTTGTAAAAAGTAAAAACCATTGCCCAGCAGCTTAGGAGACTGAGGCAGGAGGAGCACGAGTTCAAAGCCAGCCTCAACATAAAAAAAGTGAAGTGCTAAGCAACTCAGTGAGACCCTGTCTCTAAACAAAATACAAAATAGGGCTGGGGGTGTGGCTCAGTGGTCCAGTGGCCCTGAGTTCAATCTCCAGTATCCCCTCAAAAAAGTAAAAAAACATTAAACTACATAAAGGTTTGTAAATCAGAAGGGGAAATTATCAGGTAATCCTGTTTATAACTCTGGTAAAGCAGTCTGATTTATTTTTTCAATAAAATATCAAGGATATATTTCTTTTTTTAATATTTATTTTTTGGTGTTGATGGACACAACACAATGCATTTTATTTTTATGTGGTGCTTAGAATGAAACCAGGTCCCGCCTGTGCTAGGCAAGCGCTCTACCGATGAGCCACAATCCCAGCCCCTCAAGGATATATTTCTATGTTAATAAAAATAGATCCTTCTTATCCTTTGTAATGGCTTTAGACTACTCCATTGTTTGAATATATTATAAGTTATTCAATAAATTCTTCATTAGACATTACATCTCTAATTTTTCCTGGTTATAAAATTTCMTGGCATTTTGGTTCTAAAAGTGAAATTGCCGAGTTTAAGGATAACTGTATTACTAGCATGCGTTCTAGAACGATTTTAGCAATTTATATTCTCATCAACAGTTTATGACAGGAGCCTAAAGAATTATCTAAGAAACTATCTGACAACCCACTCCTTCTGTAAGCAGCAAAAAAGAATTTGCTTAGATTAGCAATTGGCAATGTTTTCAAGTCATTTCACTGCACCGTGGGATGTGGGTAGAACAAAAGTTATTGTGCATTCAGACACCAAAATTTCAAACGACTAACTAGGAGTGGGAGTGGCTCAAAAATTAGCCCAGAAAAGTAAAGATTAAGGAAAATAAGTCTTTTATAGCTTCACTGAGGTTGGAGAGAGAAACCAAGGCATAATTTTTCCAGTGTGCCAGTTTGGATGACTATTAGTGCCATCTTCTGGCAAAGAAGCCAAAAACTTTCAATTTGCATGCTAGCAATAAAGTATTTCTTATGAGCACCACCATTTAAAGACTGCCATGAGAACCCAGAGTTATCTGGGGTCTATGGTGTAGGTAAGGGGATGGGAAAGAAAGAGGTGAATTTATTTGAAACAAAGATCTGAAACATTCCACCAAGGTCTCTGGCAGCCTGCTGTCTCTCCACTGTGGCCATATACAGTGCTTGGGGCAACTGAGATAGCAATAACAAGCCACTATCCTCTTCAAGTTCAAATTCTCCAGGTTACTCTAGGTGAGGCAGCCTAACGGGCTGCTAGATTACTGAGTTCAATTACTCAGGAAAATAGATTTGATTTAAAAGGAATCTGTTCCCAAGTATTTTCTCAAGTCCTGCAATGAAGAAATGTACTTAATACAACACACCGCCAAACCCTTCAACATACATAATGATGTAAAGGCATAGAAAACCAATTATACCTTTATACTTTTTTTTTTTTTAATTTCAAGGATTCAAAATACTTCCTTGCTCTAATCTGCCAAAATATATTTGGGAAAAAAACTTCTTTTTTTTTTTTTTAAACAAATTACTTATAAAATGTGACATCTCTGCCTGGCGCAGTGGCACATGCCTGTAATCTCAGCCGCTTGGGATGCTGAGACGGGGATTTCAAGTTCAAAGCCAGCTTCAGCAACTAAGCTAGACCCTGTCTCAAAAAATATATAAATATCAATATTGATATAAAATATTGATATAAAAATATATCAATATTGATATAAAATATATCAATATTGATATAAAATATATCAATATTGATATAAAATATTGATATAAAATATATCAATATTGATATAAAATATTGATATAAAATATCAATCCCCGGTACCAAAAAAAAAAAAAGCCACAGCCATATGTCGGAAGCCCTTAAGATTTAAAAACAACAGCAACAACAAAAACCTGTATGTGTACTATATGCGGGAAAAATTAATAAAATGCTTTAGTCCAAATTAGCTTCTATTAGAGAACTCTCCCCAACGTTTCGGCCCCGACCTTCCTTTTCACCATCAGCCACGCCCTCCGCGCTCCCTCCACACCAGCTCGGCCCGATGGCCAGCTCCGCCTCGCTCCCCGCCCCACTCGGGCCCCGCCCCACTCGGCCCCGCCCCAGCCCAGCCCCGCCCCGCCTCGAGCGGCCCCGCCCCGCGCGCGTCCGCTCCTCCCAGCCACCTCCGCGTCGCGCCGGCTCCCGCGCGCTGACGTCACACGCCAGCGCCGGTGACACGCCTGCCGCTCCCCCTTCTTCTGCACTTGCTCCAGGGTGCGGGCGCCTGGGTGCGTTACTTTTACCATGTATTCCCAAGCTGTTGTCCCCTTATCCCGGAAACTAGAGCCACTGTAGCAAGGCAGGAGGACGTGGCAGTCAGGGAGCCTCACAGTCCCAAGTGCTGCCTGCCCTCCACCCCTCCTTGGCCACTAGCAACGACCTCTGTGAAGTTGGATGGGCGGTAACGGAGGCACTCCCCCTGCTGCCACCCGCCGTTTCCAAGGGGGTCAGAAAACAGTGTGTTTATTTCCTTTGGGTAGTGTGGRTCAGTCCCAACCGGGTTGTGCAAGGAGGGACGGGGTCAACCCTGAGGTGTCAACTAAAGGCTGGTGTGATTTTTTTTGTGTGTGGGGGTCTCAGTGCTCCCTTTCAGTCTGGGCTGTGAGCTGCTGCTAGTTAGATTGGTTTCTCTTTCAGGATGTTATTTTCAAAATGCAGRATGGTGACTCTGCCTCATTAAGTCTCTTAGGAACTGACTACCACCTCTAGACCGATGCTTTTGATCATCACCGTTATTCCTACTAAATTCCTGTGAYATTGAGGTGAGTTGCACTTGGGGGAAGCAATGATGTGCAAAAGAGTAAAATCATAGTGGAAACGAGGAGACCTATTTAGATTTGCTTGTGTAGAGATTGCATGGATAGTCACCTTAAGTGTTTGCGGGAATAATACCTTCACATCATTAAAATGGTAATTCTCTGAAAGAACTAACTGTACTTCAAAACGTTTTTAGACATTTTTTAAAAGATAAAATGATAATGGAAWTAAAATAATAATATAAACCTTAATATGGAAAAACAGTCATTTAAATTGGTTATATTAGATATCTCCAATCTTAAATTATCTGCATTTTAATTAGAAGGAGATAATAGTATTTAACTAGTTATCCCATAATCTTATATTTTTATTTCCATGATTTGACAGTTTCCATATGTAAGGTATTAAAGATTCTACTACTTCTAAGTGTTAATCACAACTTGTGTGTGTGTGTGTGTGTGTGTGTGGAGGGGGTGCTGGGGACTTGTGCATATACTAGACAAGTGCTCTACCACCGAGCCCTAGCCCCAGCCCCCATAAGTCTTTTTTTAATGCAGGTGTTAATTTTATTTTCTAATGTAAGTTTCCCAAGAAGAATAATTTTTTTATTGCCTAGGTAAATTCATCAGAAATATTTATGAAGGATTAAAAGTAGTATCCAACCTAAGCTAATAATGGCCTTTTCTTATGATGCAGCAATACTGTAGAGATGATGGAGGRGAACCAAATATGAAGAGAAGTAGTTCTTTGTTTCTAGTTTATTTGTCTGGTCTTAGAAGATCTACAGATCTAGTTCATTTAGAATTGTCTGTTGTTCTAAGTGAAAAATAAGGAACCTATATTGTGGAAAAACAAGTTTTTGCACAGTGAAAATTACCATCAGAAATTTGTAAAGGTTATGGAACTTGACCACAGGAGTTCTTTTGAGGTCATGTTAATAATACATTGACATTGTATTCCAAGTAAATTTTACTCTTGTCTAATCTGCCTTCTAATCTGTCATGAACATGATACCTTTTCATGAATATAAAAGCTTTATTTACATGTTGATAGTTTTCACTACAGGCCTTCTTGAGTGTTATCTGAATAGATAGATATTAGAAAAAAAACCCAAGTATTTAGGAAAAAAAGTCCAATAGTATTTCCATTTTTGTTTTTTGCTTTTTTGAGTAATGAGAAAAAAGGGAGGGACTTTTCCTCCCTGAGAAGATAAATTGGCCCTCTCCCACAATTCAAATTGGTATTTATTGTTTTAGGAAAAGAGTATGTATGGATTGTAGTTGCAGACAGTRTCAAAAGACTTCGTGAAATCTGTTGCTCTGACATTACTAATGTTTCCCTTCAGGACAACTTGTAAAACAGTTGATGAGGACTTATTATATATGTGCATATGTGTGTGTATACATATGTGTGTGTATATACACACATGTATAAATATATATATATATTTACAATTATTACATAAATAATAGCACATTAGTCCTTTCTTATCCAGTTTCATTTACCTGTAATCAACTGGTCTGAAAATATTTTTTTAATATTTATTTTTTAGTTGTAACTGGACACAATATTTTCATTTTATTTATTTTTTATGTGGTGCTGAGGGCCCCACATATGCTAGGCGAGCRCTCTATCACTGAGTCACAATCCAAGCCCTGGTCTGAAAATATTAAATGAGAAATTCCAGAAATGAACAATTCATAAATTTTAAATTACATGCCATTCTGAGTAGCATGAGGAAATCTCAAGCAGTCTTGCCCAGGACCTGAATCATCCCTTTATACAGCATATTCACACACCATATGTACTACCTGCCTGTCACTTAGTAGCCTTATGGGTTATCACATTGACTATCAGTGCTTGTATTCAGGTTATCCTTATTTTACTCGGTGATCACCGAAGAGCAAGAGTAGTGATGCTGGCAATTTGGATATGACAAACAGAAGCTATAAAGTATTTCCTTTAAGTGAAAATGTAATAGTGCAATATGATATTTTGAGTGAGAAACCATGTAAYTTTTATTACAGTATATTGTTAAAATTGTTTTATTTTATTGTTATTCTATTACTGTCCCTAATTTCTAAATTAAACTTTATCATAGATATGTATAGGGAAAACATCAGATCTAGTACTATCTGTGGTTTCAGGCATCATTGGGGGTCTTGAAACATGTCCTCTGTGGATAAGGGGGGAGTACTATATACACATTTATTATTTTGATCTTTTTTAAAAATTTAATACTTAGAAGTTACTCTATATTAATACAAATGCTGCTTCATTGTTTATGGTTATTTAAATTTTGCTATTAGAAACTGTTGTGGAGGATAACTTTGTAAATATATCATTTTTCTGTACATTTGGAAGTATTTATAGTGTGAGTTCCTAGGAATGGAATTATTGTATCAAAGTGTCTGTACATTTACAGTTTGGGGAGATATTATCAAATCATTTTCCTTAGCATGTAGACCAGTTTACACTACCACGGTGTTGCATCACCATATTGTTTCTTTCTATTTCCCTCCAAAACAGTACAATAATAAATTTTTTGAATTTTGCCAATCTGATGGGTGAAAAATGCTCTCTTGAATTTTTTTCTTATTGTAAAATATGCATAAGATGAAAGTTATCTCTTCTTCAAATTTGATTACTCTTTACAGAAGATTGGATACCTTTGTACTTTTTTTTTTTAAAACACATTCATGCTATAAATTGCTTATGCTGGCCTGGAACTTTCGGTTCTCCTGTTTCAACCTCCCAGGTCCCTGGACTACAGGAGTTACATGCATGAGTCACAATGCCTGGCTACCTTTGTGCATGTTAATATAATTTATATACAATTTATTCTTTTTCATACCTGTATTTTGTTCATTTATTTTTATGTGGTGCTGAGGATCGAACGAACCTAGTGCCTCACATATAGGAGGCAAGCACTCTACCGCTGAGCCACAACCTCAGCCCCTACAACTTATTCTTTTTATTATTATCATTTTACTTTTTATTTTTGGCTGGTACTGGGGATTGAATTTAGGGGGACTCTACTACTGAGATAAATTCCCAGCCCTTTTTATATTTTTGTTTTGAGACAGAGTCTTGCTAAATTGTCCACTCTATCCTTGAACTTTCAATCCTTCTGCCTCCCTTAGCCTCCTGAGTTGCTGGGATTACAGTTGTGTGTCATTGTGCCCAGCTTTGTTAACTTTTTTGGTGGTGAGGATTTAAATCAGGATCTTGTGCATGCTAGGTAAACTGCTGAACTACATACATCCTAAGTAACTTCATCTTCTTTGTTCACTTTTCTGTTGGATTTTTCTTTTATGCCTATGAGTACATAGCTTTTTATTTATTAAAAAGTGATCCTTTGGGGGTATGAGCTAAAACATATACTTTTTATCATTCTTATTTGCTTTATGCTAGTTAATGCTAGTAGTCATTAATCCATTAAGACTTTTTGCTTTTATGGTATATTTCAACTACCCACTCAGTGATTTTTTAAAAAACTCATTCTCTTGTGTTTTATTTTATTATTATTATGGTTTTATTTTTTCTATTTCAGTTATTTAACACTCCCGTCCTATCAATGGTTCTGAGGTTTTGTTAGAACTATGTCTCAGTCTTTTTGTGTGCATGCATAGGTTAGAAATGGGCTGACAGAAGTGGATTTACTTGCAGATTTTTAGACTCCTATTTTGTTTTTTTCTTTCTAGGATTTTGGAAGCTCTGAAAACTAATTCATTTCTCTCCTCAGCCCAGGAAGACTGCGTCTTTATACTAGAGTTCTATTTCACTGTGGCACATGGGAGATGTCTTCAGGGGAAGAAAAGGCTAGGATGAATGTAGAACTTATTAATAGTTGCCACCTCTCAATAATTATCATCATACATTTTTTTTTAGGTTTTAAATTGCTTTTGGAGGTGGGATGGTCAGAGTCTAGTCTCAACATTTATTTTGTGGACGTTCTCTTAATCTCCCAGCTGAACTTGAGGTTCCCAGTCTAGAGACATCTCAGTTTTTTACCAACATGGAAGATATGTAGTTCCCTGATTGGGAGAGATGAAGGAGGCACGTTGTATATGTGGCTGTTGCTTAGCCTTTCAACCAGTCCTATTTTAATCCTAGTATTAGCCGACGTTCATGTGCACCTGGGTATTGAGCTATATGTGGAGGGAATCAACTTATTTAATTGATTATTTTTGCATTCTTATTTCTCTTATTTCCCTCTGCTGGCTTAAAATACAGCTTTCTGTTGGTTCCTAGTCAGTTGTTGCTGCCTTGCGTGTGTTGTTTGCCAGTTTCCAGAATTGTTTTGCTGTTGCTATCTTGAGATCCTGTTCTGTCTTTTTGACCCCTTTAGTGTGGAGAAGAAGTAGTATGTTCAATCTCATATATTTAGTGGTGAGTTGTGGTTTTTATATACTGAAAATTGTGATTTTACGTAAGCATTGAAAAGATGAACATTTATTTAGAATTTAGTTTATTACCATAATGAAATAAGAACAGGATTCTGTGTTGTGTCAGTTACATGTTATAATGTGGACAGTGCATTTTGTTTTATTTCATTTGTTTGGAAAATTTTTTTAGGATTATAATTCAGTTGAGAAGTCTTACCACAAAGAAATAAGTAGCTCAATTAAATATGTTATAAGACATTGAAAATAACCTATTTTTTTCATGGTTTTCCTTTTATTTCCTCTTATGTATGTTAACTGCAAAAAAGGAGAGCATGTCAGTTATTCTGAAACTCATCTGCCACAAGTCTTTTATTACTTGGACAGGTGTTTGTATTTGTGCCATTATTTTGATTGCAGTTAGAGTTATCTTTTATCAATACCAGGGGTAGTAGATTCTCTTCTGCTTTACTGAATTAATTATAAATAAGAGATGCAGTAATGTAGTTGGCAGTAGAATGCAATGTTAGGGACTCTTGGAGCTTCCATGTTTTCATGTGATCCCTGGAAAGGAATTGGCAACTAAACTTTAAGAAAGGCCAAAATGACTAATTTTGTTTTTCCTTTCATGGCAGTCACTGGATAGTGATGATTGTGAAATAATCTTATTATGTGATTAGTATGTATTATAATTTATTTTATGAAATTTAGTTTTCTAAGATGAGTGTATCTTGATTTTTTTATTTTCTTAAGTAGCATAGTAATGTGACATATTGAACTTTCCTGTCCTGGAGAAATCATTAACCCATGAAATCCCAAGTTTTTAATTCCATGACTATTTCAGTGAAATTGTCACAGGTATGTTAAAATAGGTTAGAAGTCTTAATCTATAGCTTATATAATTTATTATTACAAATAATACTAGTGTATATTATCACTTGTTTTTCATCTGTTTTCTCAAAAGAATAGAACTCTAAAAGCATAACTGTGCATTTCATAGTTACCATAAGTGGTATATTTTTTGCTCAGTATAAGTTTTTTAGGTGTTCCATAAATGGGACAATGGGACATAATTGTTTAAATTTTGGATGGTTCCCAGATAGACATTAGACATTATATTATACCAGTTGATAAAACTTGAATTTAATATGTTTGGAATGACTTTTCCTCTTTAACTCACTGATAATGTTTCTTTTATTGTTTCTCTTAAAGTTGCTAAAAACATTCTTGTTTCCTATAGAAATTTGAAATGGAATATGGCCATGTTTTCTAAAGTAGAGGAAGACTCCCACAAAATTTCATACAGTATAATTACCCATCAATTTTTACCACAGGCTGTGTTCTAGCCTTTGGTTTTACAGGCCTAGACTATGAATTTTGTTATTTATTGAGATTGAGTCTTCCTTTTTWAAAWWWWTTTTTTTTTTAGTTGTAGGTGGACACAATACCTTTATTTTATTTATTTATATGTGATGCTGAGGATCAAACCCCGTGCCTTGCACGTGCCAGGCAGGTGCTCTACCACTGAGCCACACCCTGGCCCCCTAGCCTTTCTTTTTTTAGAAGCAAAATAAAATTAAACAAATTTAGTATTGATGGATGAAATGACAGCATCAATTTATTAATTTAGAATGAGAAAGAAATATAATAACTGTCACAGAAATTTAAAATAGTTTCCTGGGAAGCTCATTTTCTCCCAGAAGGGAATCATACACTGGAAACTTGTTTGYTGTAAATGGAAATAGAAGAGAGCAAGTTGGGTAATTGAAATATTTAGAAGGAGTTTCAGATTAACATAGTGAATTCATGTATGTCCACATTAAAGGTAATCTTGCCAGCAGGCTATGCTGATTATTGCTCCCTATCTCTACCACCCATTCCCCCCACACACTACTTTTTATTTTTTTAAGCTTTACTATCTAGTGTAGTTTTGGGTTTTTCCTGAAATTATCGCTCTCTTGAAATTACTGTTGCTGAAGCTACTGATGACTTTAACTACTTAGGTATGGTAAGGGTATATGTATAATATCTAAAGCAGAAGGATTTGATTACATTAGGAGTTTTTGCAAATTATTAAAAAGAATACTATCTTAGTAGAAAATGGATTAAGAAAATAGATGAATAGTTCAAAAAAGAAGAAATACAAATGTTCAMTAAATGTGGAAGAATTTTTTAAGTTTACCAGTTAAGCATTATTTCATTCAAATAAAAATGAAACATCATTTCCTTCATCAAACAAGAGTAACAAATTGTGACATAGTGTTTGCCAYATGCCAGGCATTGTGCTCAGTACATGACTTATATTAACTAATCCTCCCAGTGGTTCTGTAAGTACATACTATGGTTATCTACATTTTATAGATGAACATGTAAAGATAGGTCAATTGTCTTAGACCATATAGTATGTGATAAAGCCAGATTTAAACACAATCTCTCTTCAGTGCTCTTTAACTACTACCCTTTATTGCCTCTCACAGATTTTAATAATTAATAGCCAGTATTAATGAAGGTATGTAAGATAGAATATAAATTGGTAGACATTTTTGTATGACAAAAATGCTGCAAGTTAGAATATAAATTGGTAGACATTTTTGTATGACACTATGTTTGAAAGTTTTCAAATGTGTATATTCTCTGAACTTATAATTTATCCTAAGGAAATCCTTGTAAGTACACTAAAATATATGTACATAAATTTTATCTGAAGTTGTTTTATAATAGCAAACAAATAACTTTGGTAGATAGTATCTTATTAAGCTTACATTCTTATTAGATATAATAAAATATCGCTACTAAGTCGTTTATGTAGGAAAAAGTTTGCTGTTCTCTGCACATAATTTTAAGTATGAAAAATATTTGAAATTCCAAAGCATTCTTACAAAATTGAAATGTCACTGTCTGGCTTTTGGGTTGTAACTATGTTGCAGGAGTGAAACTGAGATAAAGGTTATTAACTTTCAGTAAAGATGTTAGCTTTTTTTTTTTTTTAGTTAGGAAATTCCTAAGGAATTAGAATTTGAATTAAACATAATTGCTCTTTTAACTGTTTTTATCCTTCTTTTTAGTATACCCATAAAAATGCCTTAGAAAAAGAACCATGGAGAAGTATGCTAGAGTGCAAAAGATCDGAGAAGGTTCATTTGGGAAAGCCATTCTTGTTGAATCTACGGAGGATGGCAGACAATATGTTATCAAGGAAATTAGCATCTCAAGAGTAAGTATATTTTTACTTCGATTACACAAGTACTGATTTGGTTACATGGAGCTCATTAGAGGACTTGAAAAAAAATAGCAATGTATACCTTAAAGCAAAAGGCTGCCATAATCCTAAAGAGTACCACTGATTTTAGAATAGTCAGATTTATGTCCTTGTGTTTTTGTGTTTAGAAAAGTATGCTTATTGTCCTGTAACTTAATCTAGCTTAAATATCTTAAAATGTTTTTATATATAGAATCAGTTCATGCTTTCTATTTTTTAAAAAAATATTATTTTTATTATTTTGGAACCAGGGATTGAACTCAGGGACGCTTAACCACTGAGCCGCATCCCCAGTCCTTTTTATATTTTAATTTTGAAATAAGATTAAGTTGTTTAGGGCTTTGATAAGTTGCTGAAGCTGGCTTTGAACTCGTGATCCTCCTGCCTCAGCCTCTCAGGCCACTAGTATTACAGGCATGCACCACCAGGCCTGGCAGCTCATCCTTTTTAACTCCTTGCTATTTTTGTTGATTGGATTATATTAGTGCCATTATTTTTTTTATTAGCTCTCTTACTAATGGTTTGATTTACTATTTTCCTTTTTTTCTCCAACTTAAGATGTCCAGTAAAGAAAGGGAAGAATCAAGGAGAGAARTTGCTGTCTTGGCAAACATGAAGCATCCAAATATTGTCCAATATAGAGAATCATTTGAAGGTCAGAAAAATTTTGCAAGACAATTCAATATAAGTCCTAAGCCATTGATAAATTTGGATATGTTCCTTGTAAGGATTCATTTTGTGGATGTATTCTCAGGTACAAAAAAAAGGAGTATCTTTTTTTGCTTCAGCACATATGCATATAAATATCAGCTTGATTCTAAGATAATACTGACACCATACCATCTCCTTGGTAGTTTAATTCTGACTTGTTCTTATTAGTGATTGCTTAAAATGAAGCAGTATAGTAAGTACAAGAATTTGAAGAAGCAAAAACAGTAATTATCTTTGTTTTTTAAAATGGTACTAAGGATTGAATCCAGGTGTAGATGGATGCTAAGCAAGTACTCTACCGCTGAGTGATGTCTGCATCCCTAACATATTTTTAAACTAAACTGCCTTTAAACATACAAACACTACCACTGAGAAAATGTTCTCATCTTTAGAAAGTACCCTTTGTATTAGTATGTTCTGCTATCCCTCATTATAACATTGAAATATATTGAATATTTTCTCAAGTTCTTAAAATGTAGTAATTGTCATGGCTATTTTGGAACTATATGCTATTATATTTGATAATGTAGGAAGTAAGATAGGGCAAAGCTTTTTGAAAGGCAATTCAAAGTAGTTTATTCAAGTCCTACTCAATAAAGTCCTATCACTTCCATTATTATCATAAATCTCTATAAATTACAAAAGAAAGATAAAGTAAAGGTAGAAGATAATTGAAATGACTAGTTCAAGGTTGAATCACATACTAGTTTCAGAGTATGAGTTATAGCTAAAATTACTTTGTTCCTAGATAAACTTAATACCTACTAAATGAAAAGATACTTTTAAAAATATTGTTAAATTAACACATCATATTGTTAACTTTTATGATGACAGTAAATTGAAGATTTTTATCTTATGTGAAAGAGTAAAATGTTAGTCATTCTCAGGACCTTGAATTTCCTGTATTTATCTTTCCCCACCATCTATCTTTTAATTTTTTTCTTTTAGCTCTACAATTTTAATTGATTAATTAATTAATTWATTWATTTATTGGTACCAGGGGTTGAACTTAAGGGTGCTTAACCACTGAGCCACATCCCTAGACCTTTTTTTTTTAATATTTATTTTTTAGTTGGACACAACTAAAAAATAAATATTAAAAAAATATTATTAACTTTCAGTAAAGATGTTAGCCTTTTTTTTTAAGTTAAGAAATTCCTAAGGAATTAGAATTTGAATTAAACATAATTGCTTTATTTATTTACTTTTATGCGGGGCTGAGGATGGAACTCAGGGCTTCACACATACTAAGCTAGCACTCTACTGCTGAGCCACAACCCCTTCCCTCCCTAGGCTTTTTTATTTTTAAATTTGGGATAAGGTCTCAAGGAGTTGCTTAGAGCCTTTTTAGTTGCTGAGGCAAACTTTGAACTTGAAATCCACACTCTCAGCCTCCCAAGTTGCTGGGATTACATGTGTGAGCCAGGACATCCAGCTTAGTGCCACAGTTTTAATCAAATTAAAAGGTTTTGACTGTATGTTGACAAATTTCCAGCAGATATTTTGTATTTATATTAGTACTACAGATAGAAACATCTGAATGATTGAAAAGGGATGCACATTCTTTAAGATTTTATTATTAAGTTTAAAGGAATACATGCTCATGAAAAACATTAAAAAAGTATAGACATGCATGACTAGAAGGTAAGTACTCCATTTTTGTAATTCCATCCTCATTCCTACTCCCTAGGGATAAGCGCTATTAACAATTCAGTGTTTRTTCTTTATTTTCTATGGCTGTGCAAAATATATTGTATTAAKAAAAATAAACTACCTTATTTTTTTCTCTGTAATCAATATAAAAAACTTCTATGACCTCAAAAGATTAACTCAATTTGAGATTGAGAGCTCAGTACTTGAGATTGTCTCTACTTTGACCCATTCATAAGTCCAGACCTCTGGAACTTCTGCCTGACTGGCTACAAATGGAGGTCTGCCTCCTCCACCCCAACCCTCAGGTTCATTTCTATGTCCTGTGGGTTTTTTTTTGTCGTTCTATTTTTCTTAGCTTTTATTTCTCAGCCAGCCCATTCCACTAAGGGGAACCCCATTTGTGCCACCTGTGCAGGATGTGGGCGAGAGATATTAGATACCATTATAAGTAAGCCTTGGTATGTGTGTTTAGGTGGGGAGTATGTACTGAGGATTGAATGAAGAGGCAGTACACATCCTGGGCAGGCACTCTACCACTGAGCTACACCCCAATCCTGTAAATAGCCTTTTAAATTTACTTACAAGGGAGTGTGGAATGTTATGACAATCACACCTACAGCCTTCTTGATTTGTGTATGTGTGTATACTAWGTACACACTCTGCCATTGAGCTACCATACTATCTGGGAATGCTTTATTTAAAAATCCCAATATTATGCACCTGGGAATTAGTGCATGAGAAGAAATTCCATTGACAAACAGATTAAAAATTTCTCTTTTTTTCAGTTAAGTGCAGATCATATGGACTGGAAAAATGGATAGGTGAATCAGTAAAAGGCATTGATTTGAAAATAAACTGGAATAGTTTGGATGAAATTATTTGATAAAACCTTGAAAGTGGGTAGAAGACTATTTGTGTGTGTGTGTGTGTGTGTGTATAATTTAAAATATAAGTGTATGATAGATTTTAATTTTAATTATTATAGGCATTAGACTGTTTTGTCTGATTTCCTTCCATTTATAAATGCATATAAGTAAAAATTTTGATCTTATGATTGGGAAAATAGGGGATTGCTTCATACGACCAGATATTTGAGTGTATGGTTTATATATGGTATAGTTTTTTGACTTTCTGCTTCCATTATTAATATATAATTTTCTGGTTTTGGTTGTCTTTGACTGTCATCTTCTAATTGCTTTTATTTTTTGCCTTTATCCTCTTGTTTGAGTTCTTATTTCTAGTTTTTATATCTTTTTGCAAGCATGCCAATCTCATTGATATAGAGGTTGGCATTTTACTTGTTCCCCATTGCTGCTGCCAATATCTAATTAACTTGAAAAAAAGACTTCTCATAGGAGTTAAATTTGGATTACTTTTGGCTGCAGGTAATAGAAAATCTGACCACTGTTGGCTTAAGTGAGAAAGATATTGTCTCAGGTAACAAGTCTTAAGATAAGCAGACCTTTGGCATGGCAGCTCATCTGTGTTAGTATAATCCAGGCTCTGACATTCTACTCTGCCRTCCTTAGTATATAAGTTTTTCAGCTTCATGCTTTCTTGTCCCAAGATAGCACTTGCAATTTTAGGCACATGTCTGCATCCAAGGCCAAAAGAAGAGGAAATGGTRGCAACAGCAGCACATCTTGATTCTGTTCCTTAATTAGAAAAATGCTTTCTCAGAAGCCACTTTTCAGAATTACTTTTGATTTTACTGACCCAAACTGAGTCAGATGACTACCTCTAATTGTGATGGGAAACGGGAGCTAAAACATCTGGCTTTTTTTTTTTAGCTTCTAAATTGAGGAGTGGTGAAGGGAAAAGAGTGCTCTAATTGGCTATTGTGTTAGCTAACCAAGAGTACATGCTTTACTGATTATAAATCAGTCCCCATTACCATTTTTCTCTAACATTCATTGGGGTTTTATCATTTGATTTATATAGCCTTTTAGCCTTGTGACTATAACTCTAAGCCATTTCTAGGTGGAATTATTGTTTTGACTTTGGGGAGGGCCTTTATTACTGTACAAACTTATTGGTGATAAAGGGAAGTGTCTTGTATTTGTATATACCTAGCAAAATGCCTGGTAAATAATTGGTGGTAAGATGTTGGAATAAAGAATAGATAAGTATTAATCTAAAAAATAAATAATATCTAGTGGCAAAATATATTACTGAGTTCATATATTAAAGCTCCGTTCCTTTAAAGGGAGGATTGCTTCTCCATCCCTCTCTCAGGTCCTATTAACTCCCCCTACACATATTTTTTTGTTTTTATCTTTTATTATATACATATGGTACAAAATTCAGAGGTTACAGAACAGTAGAAGGTTTACCTTCTTTTGCTATCCTTAGCATAGTTTTGTTCTTTTCTTGGAGTTAACACTGTTACCAGGCTGGCTTTGAACTCACGATCCTTCTGCCTCAGCCTCCTAAACTGCTGGGATTATAGGTATATTCCACCRTGCCCAGTTACAAGTTCTCAATTCTAATAGTGTATTTTAAGCAGTGTAGCAAAATATGATATAGGAGCATGAACACACCACCACAAAGTGTAAAATAAATATTACTAAGAATAAAGCCATAACAGATGGTAAGGAAATGAGAAGTGGAAAACTCTGCTTTGAATTATGATAGTTGCACTAGTAAGTAGTGGTTCAATAAATGTAAGAAATTATATTGGCCACATAGGAGTGCAAAGAATGATTAAAAATGTTTCTCTAAGCTGGGTGTGATTGCACAGGCCTGTAATCCCAACAGCTTGGGAGGCTGAGATGGTACAAAGCCAGCCTTGGCAACAGCGAGATGCTAAACAACTCAATGAGATCCTGTCTCTAAATAAAATACAAAATAGGGCAGCGAGATGCTAAACAACTCAATGAGATCCTGTCTCTAAATAAAATACAAAATAGGGCTGTGGATGTGGCTTAGTGGTCAAGTGTCCCTGAGTTCAATCCCTGGTACCAAAAAAAAAAAAAAAAAAAAAGTGTTTCTAGTCCCTTCCACCATGGAAGAGACATGGAAGTCTCTTTCTCTGTGAATCAGGATATAAAGGTAAATAAGGTAGAGCCCCTTCATCATGTTCATTCACAAGTTATACACCATTTTTTAAAGAGAGTAAAATGTAAGAAAGCTCTTCAGATTTTATCACAATATATATTATCACATTTATTTTATAAGTAATTGATTCATGTGGGTAAAAAAAACCTGAAAATTAATGGTCATTTGGAAACTAAGATAACTCATATCTGACAAATAGGTAGAAAAGTATGATTTTGCATATGACRTTTCAGAAGCTTATTTTATTCATTATTGAATGAAATCAAGTATCTCTGCATTTTATCTGTATTCCAGAGATGTTAAAGTTAATGTGAACACCTTTCTTCAATAGGACAGTGTATTCTTGGATTTGGAAAAAAAAAACATGATTGAGTGCACATAACTTGTCATTATACAGTCTTTATAACAGTGTACCTGAAACTTGCACCTTAATTCTTATGAGTGTGGTTCTGCACTTTTTGCTTAGTGGTTGCTTTTCAGTAAATTTTTAAGTACTTTTAAGTTAGTTGGGCCATTGATATACATTTTWAAAAAGGGAATAATGTTTTATTTTGTAGAAAATGGCTCTCTCTACATAGTGATGGATTATTGTGAAGGAGGAGATCTGTTTAAGCGGATAAATGCTCAGAAAGGCATTTTGTTTCAAGAGGATCAGGTAAGTGAGTATGTAGGAGCTTCATTCCTACCCTATTTTTGAGAAATAGCTCAAAAATGAGCTATTTGGTTATTTATGTGTGTATCTATTTCTAACTACAAATGCTAATTGTAATAACTAGGGCAGCCTGGTATATTCAATACCTTTGGCACATTTCTGACTATTTAACTCCCACTTTTGTATAGTTCTCTATCTCATTTCTAGTTCTGTAACAATATATTTTTATATGTTAATGTGTTACATCCTATGTATATTATGTATATTTACATGTATCCTATGTGTGTATATATATTTGTATATTTTTTTTCTTCTTTGTGTTAACTGAGCATTGAACCCAGGGCCTSGCACATGCCAGGTGAGCACTCTACCCCTTAACCACATCCCCAGTCCTGTTTATTTTTTATTTTGAGACATGGTCTTGCTGAGTATAACCTGTGATCCTCTTGATTCAGCTTCCTGAGTAGCTAGGATTAAAAGCACCTGCTACCACACCTGACTATATGTATATAACTTATTTATTCATTTTAAGTGTTTAATTTTTCAGGGTCCCAACAATATGGTTTACTGCTGCCAGATCAAATCTTCCCCAACAGGTAGCTTTTCTACATAACTCTAGCTCTRGAAGGCTTGCACTGGCAACTGTTAAATCTAATCTCTGTTTTGATTTCCAAGATCAATGAAGTATAGCCTTACCCTATCTAAGTAGCTTTATTTTTTTTTCTATTATTCCCTAAATTTCCACCTCTTTTGTTTAGTTTAGGAGATATTTATTGAGCAGGTACTTTGTGTTAGCCACTAGGCTGTATGTTTATATATCTATCTCATTGTCTTTATAGTTGTTCTGATTACTTATTTTATTTTGGTAATGTTTTYCCCCTAACTCTTTGTTATTAATAAGCTGCCTTTATTTTTTTCCAGTTCAGTTCAAGTCCCAACTTCTTTAAATATTCTTCATTTTCTGTGGTTTTTTCCTTCTCTAAATTCCTTCCATTCATCTCTCATTATCACCCCTTCTTAATTTTAATTGAATTTGCTCTAAAAACTTAGAGTCTTATAGTATCAAATAGTTATTAAGGCCACAGATTTTATTTTTGTCTAGAAATTTTCATAAAGAATCTTGGATTGGGTTTTTAAAGACTATTTATTATTTGTTCCAAGGCTAGGAAACAAAACATAATATCTTCCACCAGATTTTACTTGCATATCTATAAATTTGAACAACTAAAGTTTGTTACATTTTATTTAATTCCCTGCAAATCCACTTTCCTGAGGTAAACCCTGTTTTCTGGTTGGTAGCTGTCCTTCTGTTTCCTAACTTTATTCCTTCTTTCCTTCCTACACACACACACACACACACACACACACACACACACATACACAAAATTATAATCACATAGAGCTCAAGTATGTGCTATAAATATAGGAGTATACTATGCATTTGTATACTATGTATTCTGCAACTCTTTTTAGTTAACACTATATAAACTATACATAAATGTGCTTCATTCTTTTTTTGTGGAGGATGGATACCAGGGATTGAACTAGGGGCACTTAACCACTGAGCCATAATCCTCAGCCCTATTTTTTGTATTTTATTTAGAGACAGGGTTTCGCTGAGTTGCTTAGTGTCTCACTTTTGCTAAGACTGGCTTTGAACTCACAATCCTCCTGCCTCAGCCTCCAGAGCAACTGCAATTCCAGGCATGTGCCACCTCGCCTGGTTGCTTCATTCTTTTCAATGGGTGCAGAATATTTCTAGTATATGTATCACAATGTATTTCACGCTCCTTTGTGGCCTGTTATTTAAAATATTTTTGGATCTAATAGTGCTATAACAAACATTCTTATGCATGTATTTTGGTATTTCTGACACTATATCTGTAGAATAAATTTGAAATTGCAATTATTTATTTAACTTGCATTTAAAATGGTATGTGAATCTAAAATTTGATTTGAAGTGATTAGAATTAAATTTCTCATAAATGGGGCATAAAAAGACTTATTTTCCTATATCTGACTGATATTATAAATTATTTCAAGTTCAGTTAAAATGATACCTTGTTATTTTCAATTTGAAGGGGATTTAGTATTTTATGTAGGTTTTTATTCAGCTTTTTTCCCTTTGTGTTTGCCTTTCCAGTCTTTTATACACTTTTTATTTTGGCTGTCAGTATTTTTCTCAGTGATTTGGAAGAACTTTTACGTAATGCAGAATCAGCAATCTGTCAATTATGCTGCAGGTTTTTTTTATCCTTTTTTTTTTTAGTTGTAGATGGACACAATACCTTTATTTTATTTGTTTATTTTTTTTGTTTTGTTTTAATTAGTTACACRTGACAGTACAATGACCTTGACATATCATACATTTGAATCATATGGGATATAATTTCTCATTTTTATGAGTATTCAGGTGGCAGAATCACATTGGTCATGCATTCACATATATACACACAGTAATAATAATGTCTGTTTCATTCTACTATCCTTCCTATCTCCCCAACCCCTCTCATCCCCTCCCATCACTTCTCTCTACCTAATCTAGTGTCTCACATATTCTTTTTTTTTCTTACATCTTTATACATGTATTTTGTATAACAGTTTGGGTCTCCTTCCACCATCCATGCAATTCCCTTTCTCCCTCGCTTTCCCTCTTCCCTATGTAGAGGTAATCTTCTTCCCATGCTCTTCCTCTCTTCCCCATTTTGAGTCACCCCCCTTATATCAGAGGAGGCATTYGGCATTTGTTTTTTTGTGATTGGCTAACTTCACTTAGCATAATCTGCTCTAATGCCAACCATTTCCCTGCAAATGCCATGATCTTATTATTTTTTAGTGCTGAGTAATATTCCATTGTGTATATATGCCACATTTTTTTTATCCATTCATCCATTGAAGGGCATCTAGGGTGGCTCCACAGTCTAGCTATTATGAATTGTGCTGCTATAAACACTGATGTGGCTGTGTCCCTGTAGTATCCTGTTTTTAGGTCTTTTGGGTATAGTCCGAGAAGAGGAATAGCTGGGTCAAATGGYGGTTCCATTCCCAGCTTTCCAAGGAATCTCCATACTGCTTTCCAAATTGGCTTCTTATTTGTTTATTTTTATGTGGTGCTAGGGATCAAACCCAGTTCCTCACCCATGCTAGGCAAGCTCTGTACCCAGCCCATGCTGCAGTATTTTTTAATAATTATTACTAAATTTGATTATATATTTTGCCATGTAGATGTTTTAAGTTTTATGTAGTCAACTTTATCAGTCTTTATGTTATGCTATTAATAGTTTTCTGTCATGTGTTGGAAGTCCTGCTTCAAATATTATAAAAAATTAGCCTATGTTTTCTTTTATCAGTTTGATTTTCATGTTAAAAATGCCATTGACTTTGCCGCTGGGGTTGTGGCTCAGTGGAAGAGTGCTTGTGAGACACTAGGTTTGATCCTCAGCACCACATAAAAATAAATAAATAAAACAAAGGTATTGTGTGTATCTACAACTAAAAGAAAAAAAAAATTAAATGTCATTTAGGGGGCTGGGGTTGTGGCTCAGTGGTAGAGCTCTCACCTAGCATGTGCGAGGCGCTGGGTTTGATCCTCAGCACCACGTAAAAATGGATGAATAAAATAAAGGTATGGTGTCCAACTACAATTAAAACATAAGTATTTTTTAAAAATGTCATTATCTTGGAATTATTTCGGTGTTAGGATCGAGGTAGAAATTAAGCCCTTTTAAACTTCCAAATTGCTAGCCCCAGAGGCTATATACACATGGTGAATAAGGGGAAAGGAAAAGTGAGAGATGTCTTCCCATTTTCTAGCCTTATTTTTTTTTGTGTTTGATTTTTGTTTATATTGAAAAAAGCATTATAGAAAAAATGAAGAAAAGTCACCTATCTTCATACTATTATAAAATATAAATTACATTTTTSACTCAAGTTTCTTTCCATACTTTGAGTTATGAGATGCTTCAATAGTATCTCTTTCATTTAAGATTTAGTATGTGTTCTTGCACATTCTGTAAGTCAGTTTACTTGAATATCTACTTAATGTTAGTGTCTATAAAATAAAAATAAAAAGAAATTGTAGCCCCCCATTTTTTTTAGCAACTTAGTTTTCCTTAACCCCATATGTTCCTGAATCCTTTCAATGATCAAGGAAAGATACCATGATATGTAACTTTTAAAAGATATGACAGATCTGATTTTTCTTCCTAGATTTTGGACTGGTTTGTACAGATATGTTTGGCTCTGAAACATGTACATGATAGAAAAATTCTTCATCGAGACATAAAATCACAGGTATGTTTATTCTGTCATTAGTAAGTTCTGAATGGATAAGGACATGGAACATGTATTGAGCTTGATTTTGAACCCTGTTCAATGTGCATTGTGTTATCTGTCTTTCTTCAATGTTCCTTCTTCAGTCTAGTTCTAGAAATCCTCTTTTGGGGTTAATAATCCTCTGTTAGATCGCCTGCTTCCTTTTCATATCTTTCTCTCTTTGATTTCCTCTCTCCCCATGATGAAACACAATAAAAAATGAATGTATGGGAGGTAGAATTTTTGAGATTTTGCATGTCTGAAGATTACTTTATTCTATTTCTCATTAATGGAATAAACTTCCAGTTAAGAGATTGGGCATGATGGTGGCACTCTCCTATAATTCCAACAACTCAGAAGGCTGAACCAAAAGGATTGCTAATTCAAGACCAGCGTCAGCATTTTAGTGAGACTCTATCTCTAAAAATAAAAAGAGTTGAGAGTGTGGCTTTTGGTAGAACCAAAACAAACAAACAAACAAACAAACAAAGAATCTAGGTAGGGAATTGTTTTCCTATAAAATTTTGAAGATATTGCTCATTTGGTTTCTGGCTTTTTGTTTTACTATTCAGGAATTTAAAGCCATTATAATTTCTTATCCTTATTTCTTTTCTCTGAAAGATTTTAGGATGTTCTGTTTGTTCCTATTATGAAACTTCACAGTGTTGTACATTGGTGAGGCTCACTTTTCTTTCATTAATGCTGCATTTTTTTTTTTTTTTTTTTGGATACTGGGAATTGAACCCAGGAATGTGTTTTGAGGGGGCAGAATTGCGACGTATGCAGTTGAGGGGGGAAATAAAGRATGTCCATGAGCTTCTGCCCCTTTCAGTGCTTTATCCCCTCAAAGTACTCAATACAGTTTCACTCTATAGGTTCTTAATCAAGAAAACGACAATCCTTAATGCTAGGCACTGCAATAGACATAATCAACTCACAGTAAACAATTCTGGATTAATTAATTCACAGCAAACAATTCTAGATTAATTCTAAGCACTGTAAAACACACTTAATCATGACAGGCTAATAATAGATATTCCCTCTGCATGCTAAAGTTCAAATGTCAGATCAAAAGTCTTAAGCCTTAGGCTTTATGTCCAGCAGATGCACACTCTGACTGCAGTGATCAGGTCCGGAACCAAGGCAGGTTTTTCCTGGAGTGGAGTGGACAACTGGTTGAGGAGGGGGTTGTAGGAGAAGTTGCAGCTCTCACCAGGGTCCAGAAGAAGGCAGTAGAGTTTGAGAGCAGTGAGGATCACACAGAGGATCAGGAAACGATGACAAGTGATGGGATATCAGGTCCTCATCAGGCCTCCAGCTTGAGTGCATCCTTGTTTCGTCTGGCTGAATCCGTGTTCATTAGATCTATTATTTATACTAAGTTTTGGGGCTTTTGACCCCGTTTCAATCCTTATCAGCTACCATCTGATTTCTCCATGACATCATTTACCCTGGGGTCAGAAACATCTGGTCTGGTGGTCTCCACCCTGATCTTCTCACCTTTCCCTCTTATCAGGCAAGGATAGCCTGCCAGAGGCTTCACTCTGTTTATCAGGGTGAGGGGAAGTAACTTGTTTGAGGCCATTTTGGAGGAATCTGTTGGATGTGCCTGGTGAGACTGCAGGTTTTAAACTGGAGTTTTTAAAATGGAGTTGTTTAAGCTCAGGCCTAAGGCCATCCTCACAGGATGCTAAACCACTGAGCCACATCCCCAACCCTTTTTTGTATTTTATTTAGAGACAGGGTCTCACTAAGTTACTTAGGGCCTTGCTGAGTCCCTGAGGCTGGCTTTGAATTCAGTGATCCTGATTCAGCCTCCCTAGTCCCTAGTATTACAGGTGTGCACCGTGACCACGCCTGGCAATGCTCTACGTTTTTGATAGGAGAATGTTTCCTCTGGAAAATGCCAGGCTTGGTGGCACATGCCTGTAATGCCAGTGGCTTGGGAGGCTCAGGCAGGAGGATCACACCTTCAAAGCAGCCTCAGCAAAATCGAGGCACTGAGCAACTCAGTGAGATCCTGTCTTTAAATAAAATACAAAATAGAGCTATAGATGTGGCTCAGTGTCCGACCCTGTGTTCAATCCCTGGTCAAACACCCTGCCCCCCAAAAGAATGAAATTTAATTTCTGTTACCAAACATTAGAATTTTGTATTTATGAATGCAAAATAGTTGGTTAAATTACTGGAAACTCTTAAGGCTGACTGGTTACAYTTAGACTAGTTTGAATTTTTAGGCAGGTTTTTGGTGGGTGGGGTGTTTCCAGGGTATGTATATTTTACATATCATAAAATTCACTCATTTAAAGTGTACAGTTTAATGATTTTTAATATATTCATGGAGTTTTGAAACCATCACCAGTCTCTAATTCCCAGACATTTTTATGACTCCAAAGAGAAACTATACCAGTTAGTTGTCACAACTCATTTCTTTTCCAACTAGATCCTGGCAATCATGAATCTTATTTTCTGTCTCTATGAGTTTACATACGTGACATTTTATTTATTTATTTATTTATTTATTTATTTATTTATTTATTTATTTTTTAATATTTATTTTTCAGTACTTGGCGGACACAACATCTTTGTTGGTATGTGGTGCTGAGGATCGAACCCGGGCCGCACGCATGCCAGGCGAGCGCGCTACCGCTTGAGCCACATCCCCAGCCCAATGACATTTTATTCAAATGGAACATTTTATTTAAATATTTGTCTTTGCCTATTTTTGAATAGGATTTTTTTTTTGGTCTTTTTGTTGCTGACTTTAAGGGTTCTTTTCAGATATGTAATGTGCAAGTACATTTCTCCCATTCTGTGGGTTGTCTGTTCACTTTCTTGATGGTGTCCTTTGGTGCACAAAAGGTTTTAGTTTTGATGAAATCCAATTTTTTTTTTTTTTTTTGCTTGTGCTTTTGGTATTGTGTATGAAACCATTGCCTATCCCAATTAAAATTTTCTCTGGGAGTTTTGTATTTTTTGTTTTTATATGTCTAGAGTCCACTTGGAATTAATTTTGTGTACAGTATGAGGTAGGGGACTACATTTATTCTTTTACATGTTAAAATTTAGTTATTCGAGCTTTTTTTTTTTTTACTGGCTTAATTTTTATGAAAAACGTTGTTGACTCAGACAATGAACTGGACTGTAACAATATTTGGGTGTTTTTTTTTTTTTCTTTCTTTCACAGAACATATTTCTAACCAAAGATGGGACAGTACAACTTGGGGATTTTGGAATTGCTAGAGTTCTCAATAGGTAACAGATCAATTTTCAACTTTGTTTTGATTTAATATCTTCAGTGAAACTTTAATCAATGATTATGTATATATGGAAATTTATTATGTCTTTAACATCTTAAGTTTCTTCTGTGATTTTTGTTGTTGTTCTAGTACTGTAGAGCTGGCTCGAACTTGCATAGGAACTCCATACTATCTGTCACCTGAAATCTGTGAAAACAAACCTTATAATAATAAAAGGTATTTTAAAATGATATGTTATCTTTCCTTTAAATTTTTCTGTTATACTCTATTTGTGAACCTTGAGATTTATTCTAAAATCAATAACATACATATGTAAATATAAATATATATATATATATACACACACACACACACACACACATGTATGATGAAGGAAATTATTAAAAAAAGGAACTATAGATAGAATCACTTTATTAAGTTATAATTAGAAATAGAATGTTCTCAATAGTCAGTTCCTATTGAATTATAGCTAAGTTTTGTTGAACACATTCTATATGTCAGATATTGTTTTAAACACTTTCTGTATTAAAAAACCAAGTTCTGAGAGATAGACTAACTTCTTTGAAATTACTCAGCCTACTAAGTGGTGGGGCCAGTATCAAAACTAACTATCTGGTGCCTATATCCATAATCACTGATCTGAACTATGACTTAACAGATTGTGTAATATGTGGATGGAAAGAGCAGCCTTGCCACTGAATTTTAGTCACCCTTTATTTTCTGTTCCTCTTTCTAATTGGAAAATCCCAACCAAGAAATGTTAGTTGGCTTTTATAGATTTCTTTTAGATTTGATTTTAGTAAATTAATATTTTTTTGTTAATTAAAATAATGTTTTGCTTTGTAGTATTTTTAAAAATCATGGCATTTTGCAAACAATTGAATAAGGTCACTTGACTTTTGCAAAATAAAAATAACTACATGGAATGGACATGAAAGTTTTGATTTTTTTTTTTTTTAAAGAGAGAGTGAGAGAGGAGTAAGAGAGAGAGAAAGAATTTTTAATATTTATTTTTTAGTTCTCGGCGGACACAACATCTTTGTTGGTATGTGGTGCTGAGGATCGAACCCGGGCCGCACACATACCAGGCGAGCGCGCTACCGCTTGAGCCACATCCCCAGCCCCAAGTTTTGATATTTTTCTTTTAAATCTTTAATTCTTTAATGACACTTTAAAATGATTATTTAGACAACAATATTTTCTAATCTGAGACAGCTGTTCTTGTCATTTAATGATGGTTGAAAATTTCAGTTTTAAAGGAAATGTTTTATCTAGTATATCTTTTTCTAAAACATTCCCATGCTGCTTTTGTTTCCTTTAAATGTAAAAAAAAAATTTAAATATATACTAAGAAGAAATTTCTCATTTTTGTCTTCTCTAGTGACATTTGGGCTCTAGGCTGTGTCCTTTATGAGATGTGTACACTTAAACATGCAGTAAGTACAAGTTTCTGAAGTATTTTTAAATTGTATTATCTTTCAGATGACCTCATATACTAGAAATGTTTCTCTAAGTCAGTTTTTAAATTTGCTGTATTTTCTGAAGTATGAATCTAAATTGGTTTACCCTTAGTATTGATGAATATGTTATATATTTACTGTTATATATTTTATACTTTTTTCTGTTATTTCTGATGATAGAAATATATTTTGTCCTCAATGTTAAATTTATTTATTATAAATTTGCATTTTAAACTTAAATTTTTTTATTAGTTTCATTTTAGCAAGTTCTCTCAGAGTACCCAAATAATTTGAGTTTAGAATCACTTAAGTTATTTAAGTTAAAGAACTTCATTCAACACATTCATCCAAGAGTTTTATCAATTTAAATATTCCTTAAGTCAGAGTATTTATTATTATTATTATCTTTTTTTAAAGCAGCACAAAAATACACAAAAAAGGAAGAATACTCTTCACAAATAGATTTAATATTAATCACTCTTCATTTCAAAATTATTTTTAACATGTTTTTTCACACTGATTAAACAAAAAAAATTTTTGTTACCAAAAATTTAAGAAAATACATAAAAATATAAAGAATCTTGGGGCTTTAGCAGTTTTAGAGCCTATTTTTATTATTTGGGATCTATTTTTCTTTGTTATTCTTTTTAATGGCTGTGTATATACTTTAACTATATTGGCTTAGATTTCATTTTTTCTTTCTTAAGGAAAAAAAAAATGCAGAAGCTGCCAAAGTGATGTGGAATAGTGTTTATCAGATATGTGTTTAAACGAATTGGTTAGTTTTTCTGTGATACCATCATTTTAGGTACAAACATTAAATGTTTGTGTGTTTAAATTTTTCATTAATATTATTTACTCTTTAGTGGACACCTGTGGTTAAGTAATCTTTATTTATGAAGAGTTTGTTAGTTGAGACATAAAGGAAAGTTTATCAGAGGATCATATTTTTTATGCATTTAGGATTCCTTTTTAGGTATACAGATATTTCTATAAAATTGACCTTAATTTTTATAAACTGAGTGATATTCTTAAAATGTTCTGGGAGAGCTTAGCACTTAATGGAACTCTCTATAATTGTTATAATGGCTGATGTTTAATTTATGGCAYWTTTAACTCAATGTGTATTTTAACATATCAGGAGTATACAACGGTTCTGTTATTTTAGCATAGTTATCAAAAGTATAATTTTGCTTTTGTTTTTCAAAATGAAATCTTTAGATCTTATACTGCCCTACCTCTGTTTTCTTTAAACTTCAATTTATACTGTATTTAATCCTAAAATATATATTACTCTTTATATATTTATTTATTTTGGGGGTTACTGGGGATTGAATACAGGGGCACTCAACCATTGAGCCACAATCCCATCCCTTTTTTGTATTTTATGTAGAGGCAGGGTCTCACTGAGTTGCTTAGCACCTCGCTTTTGCTGAGGCTGGCTTTGAACTCGCCATCTTCCAGCCTCAGCCTCCTGAGCTGCTGGGATTGCATGCATGTGCCTCTGAACCTGGCTTGTATATTACTCTTAACATAGCTTGTATTCTATGTTGGAATGTTTGCCATATTGCTGATTCTATAGCTTGGAGCATCAAACACAAAATTTATAATAGACACTGACTAATAGGAAAGTATTTAGCAGGTTTATTTGTTATATTTTGCCTAAATACTTTTATATTTAATATCTATTCTAGATATTACAACAGAAGCATAGGAATAAAGGTTTTAAATGAAGACTAAAAGATTGTTGTCCACCCCCTCMTTTGTGGTTCTTTTTTTAAAATAATGTTATTGTATTTTTTAGACCTTTATTTTATTTATTTATTTTTRTTTGGTGCTGAGGATTGAACCCAGTGCCTCACATGATAGGCAAGCACTCTACCACTGAGCCACAACCACATCACCTCCTTTCTGGTTCTTTGACCCTAATTTTCCTACCTCAAAGACATAGTTTTTAATCATCTTGATTATTGTCTAAAATCTCTCATTAATAATTCTATCTCRTTTCTTAGCATTTTGAATAAGTAAAAATTACTCTTAGAGTAAATTATCACATTTTGTTTTCTGAAAACTAACATTCGTTTTGAAATACATTTATAGATATGCAGAAGAACACATGCTGATTAAATTATTTGAAAGAGCTTTAGGGGTTGGGGATGTGGCTCAAGYGGTAGCGCGCTCGCCTGGCATGCGTGCGTCCTGGGTTCGATCCTCAGCACCACATACAAAACAAAGATGTTGTGTCTGCCGATAACTAAAAAATAAATATTAAAATTCTCTCTCTCTCTCTCCCCACCTCTCCTCACCTCTCTCTTTAAAAAAAAAAGAAAGATAGATATTAAAAATAAATTGCTTTAAAAAAAAAGAAAGAGCTTTATATTTCTATTCTGTTAATAGGAAAAAACTATTTCTCCTTGATGATAATCCCAGTTTCAGTTTCTTTATGTTTCATATATGTTGATTTATTTTGTGGATTTTTAGTTTGAAGCTGGCAATATGAAAAACCTGGTACTGAAGATAATATCTGGATCTTTCCCACCTGTGTCTTTGCATTATTCCTATGATCTCCGCAGTTTGCTCTCTCAGTTGTTTAAAAGAAATCCTAGGGATAGACCATCAGTCAACTCCATATTGGAGAAAGGTTTTATAGCCAAGCGCATTGAAAAGTTTCTCTCACCTCAGGTATGTTTTTTTTTTAATTTTATAATTAAAATTAAACAATAGGGTTATGGTACTTAGAATCTGCACTTTGTTTTTATGGAAAGCATATCAGAACCTTGGGGAATGAGATGCCTTTTCAAACTTATTGGTGTCATTTTCCTTTTTCCATCTTACATAACTCCATTTCTTTCTCTTTGCTTTCCTAGTTGTACATCATTTCTCTGTTTCTAACTGTAAATTTATCAAACCTTTTTTTGTTTCTCTTTGTAGTGGGATTATAAATATATCTATATTGTAAGATAGTTAGGAGAATTAAAGATAGTACAATAGAATGCTCAATGGTCTAGCACATAAGTGCTCCAAATATTTAATATATATTAGATGCCATCTATATATCAATCTGTTATACTATATAAATATATTATCAACATGATTTTATATGGTTAAAATTATATTTTACTTGACAAAAAATGATTGGAAATGATTGTTCTGTGGGCATTTTTATGTATGTGTATTAGATTATTGACTCATGATTTTTCCTCTCGTATTCAAATATATAAATATTTGTTGAGTTGAACTGAATTTTAATGTGACCAGTTTTATAAATCAGTGTATATCAAATCAGTTAGCATGAGTTACTCATAAAAATGTGATCCTTTGAAATTGGAATTATTTTACTTTTCTTGTTTAATATAACATTTGTTAATTAAAATAACCAACCTTAAGCAATTTTGTAAATTTGTAGTAAAATCATGGTTGTATAACTTTATATCCTTCTGGCTTAAGAGAACATTCCTGCGAACAAATGCTCCTCAGAAAACAGAGATGTGGATTTCACTATTAATACCAAAAGAATGCATTAGTAAGCAAGAAAGCCAATTAAAAGTTTACTTGTATAGAACATAGCAACAACCTCTGAGATGTGGGTGTCTTATAAGAGTTCTTTGTTATAAGTAACATTTATAGGGACAGTTTTATGATGTAGTGTATTGTTTTTGGGACAGCTACTAGAGAAGAACAGTGACTTCATTTAATCTTGTTAAAAGTTTCTATGCCCCATTCAAGCAATTAGGACACTCAATCCAAGGCCAAAACACTGGAATTCAGTGAGCTAGCAATACAAGGGAAAATATTAAAGCCTGAAATATGCAAAATTCATTGGAGGAATGAGCAGATTATGATTATTAACAAATGGAATTTTTAATGTTACATGTTTAATATATACATTGACCCTCCTCATTGGTACTTAAGTACCTCTTAGATTTCATTTTTCATGAAAACTTACATCTTTTATTCTTTGAGTTCATTTTTTATTTGTTACATTTTACTTGTTCATGTTCAGGAGAGAAAAATTGTGACATTTTCTTTCTTTTTTATACTGGTGATTGAACCCAGAGGTACTCTACTACTGAGCTGCATTTCCAGCCCTTTTTATTTTTTATTTTGAGACGGGGTTTTGCTAAACTGCTGAGGGTAGAGTTGAACTTGTGATCTCTTGCCTCAGTCTCCTGAATAGCTGGAATTATAGGCATGGGCCACTGTGCCCAGTATGTGGTAATTTTTTTAAGGCTGTAATTTTGACACAATTTGTGATTTTACTATAACTTTTGTTTCTAGTATTTTTGTAATGGTTTGTACAGTTTTAATTTTTAATACCTAAATTTTCTCAGTGCCATAAGCCAARGTTGCTAGGGCCTAGTTCTCAATCTTGTACACCCTGGCATTTCTTCCTGGATGTTACCTGACAAATCGTGGATATAAGTTCTGTCCAGTAGAATACTCTGTGAAGATGAAGCTGTTCCATATATCAGTATTTTCAAACATTATAGCCATTAACCACTTGTGGTTGTTGAGCACGTGAAATGTGGCTGGTGTGATTGAGGGGCTGAGTTTTAAATTACACTTATTTTAAATTTTAATTCAAAAGATAGACATATATAGTGGATATTGTATTAGCACAACATAAGGATTCCAGAATCTTCTTGGATTCTATGATTTTATCTCTCAATTCACATGAGCTTGTAAACAAGAGAAAAGACTCATGTTCAGTAAGAAGAATTATTCAATTTTGGAGCAAGGTGGAGATCATAAAACATCCATTTTCATCCATAAAGGGAAAAAAATGCAGATGTTCAGAAGAGAAAACATTCACATACTTGCTCTATAATACCTGTGAACCACTTTCACCTACACTTATCCTTTACTGTACTGGTTTCTCAAAGTTTAGCACACATCATAATCCCCTGGAGGGGTTTTCCAGGTTCACCCAYCACAATCTCTGTTGCAGTAATTCTGAGGTAAAGCTTGAAAATTTGTATAACTAATAGTCCCGATAATACTAATTCTGTTGGTTTGAGACCTATAGGTGATCTTCTTTTTCTTTTTTTATTAATATTTATTTTTTAGTTGAAGTTGGACACACAATACCTTTATTTATTTTTATGTGGTGTGAGGATCGAACTCAGGCCACACACATACTAGGTGAGCGCTCTACCACTGAGCCACAACCCCACAACCCCAGCCCCCTATAGGTGATATTTAATGGGAAAGAAAACCATCTTAGGTTATGGTTTTCTGCCAATTGCAGTCTGRTCCATTGTAGCTATAAGATTATTCTTTCCACTAGCCTTACTTCTCTTGGAAAAAGAGAAWATTCATTTGTCTTTCCTGTCTTTATCCAGTTTAAAAAAACAAAAAATGCAAGCTTATGAAGCTAAATCTTTGTTGGTTTCATAATTTTACACTTAAAAAAAATTTGGAGTAGAGAGAGAAAATTCCTTTCAGGAAGTGTAAGTGATTTTTTGCTTCTGAAAATGTTTGCACATGATGAGGAACAAGTAATGAAATGTTTAAAGTAAGGATGAAAAGAGACACTTATGAAATTATGTAAGAGTAGGGCTGGGGTTGTGGTTCAGTGCTAGAGCACTTGCCTAGCATGTGTGAGGCACTAGGTTCAATCAGCACCACATAAATATAAATAAATAAAATAAAGGCACTGTGTCTGTCTACAACTAAAAAAATATTTTGAAAAACATTATGTAAGAATATATATCCAGTAACATTCACAATTTTTGTGTGTGAACTCATTGAATATGCTGAAATGATTCTGAGTATCTTTAGATAACACATGACTCTTGAAGCATTTTGAAGTAAATGATGGATATGAATGCATATAGACATAGAGATTATTCCAGATAGGTAATTTTGTTTAAGTATTTGCATACAAAGCAAGTAAGTGGTAAATGGTTGTCTAGGTTGTACATTAGATTAGTTTGAGAAGAAACTTCTCTTGGAGAAGTAATAAAAATAAGTTGGTAAGATTGAGGGAGTTGGAGCTGGGGTTGTGGCTCAGCAGTAGAGCACTTGCCTAGCACATGCGCAGCGCTGGGTTTGATCCTCAGCAACACATAAAAAGTAAACAAATAAAATAAAGGTATTATGTCCAACTACAACTAAAAAAAAATAAAAATAAAAAGATAGAGGGAGTTAGCTTGAGACTTTTGAATGGGTTATTTGGTTTTAATTTGAACAGCTCTTTTGGCAGCATATGACTGAAAAAAAGAAAAACTGTATTGTGATGCATGGATAGGGTCTTTTGRTTTTGGAAATTTAAAATCTTTTTAACTTTTTTTTTTCCTTTCTTAATCTAAGCTTATTGCAGAAGAATTTTGTCTAAAAACATTTTCAAAGTTTGGAGCACAGCCTATAACAGGTAAATGGGCTTTTCATCTGTTTGTGACAATCAATCCTAATTATATTAGAAATGTATGTAGACATATAGATGAAAAGAAAGAAKAAATTGGGATGATTGTAGGCTAAATTTAAACTAGAAGATATATGCCTTAAAATTGCTTACAATATATGGCACTGTACAATACTTTTTGATAAATTAAAAATTGTTTCTTATCTGTCTTATTTAAATGTATCCTGGCTTGAAGGCTGGGGTTGTGGCTCAGTGGAAGAACACTTACCTAGCATGTGTGAGGCTCTGGGTTCAATTCTCAGCACCACATTACAAATAAATAAAATAAAGGACCATCAACAACTAAAAAATGTTTAAAAATTAAACCTGGCTTGCAATTTTATATATTTGTCAAATGCTCTGCTAAKAACATTGTTATAGAATGTTATAGACTATCCAGTATAGGTATAAATCTTTGTGTAAGTTATTTTTCTTTAAATACTTCATATTCTAAAATTTTCTTATATTATATGAATTTATTAAGCRTAGGTTTTCTTTTAAGTGTGACTACTGGCATTAAATTTGTAGTATTGCCTATGTGGTTATTAACTATACCTATACCTATATAAATGCATGGATATACATAAACATACACACATATACTCATACACACACATTTGTGTGAGAAGGAAACTATTTTTTCCTGCATAGAATCAGAATAGATTTCTAAAATCATTGAAAGGTGTGATTTCTAAAATCATTGAAACGTTATGTAAGGTGTGAGAAATATATTTTTTTGAGTTTGGATAGATTAATACATATAACTATCATAACATGAGTCCATATAGAATGGAAATGGCATGGCAGTTTGTTCTCAGGAAGACCAGCTGTATTTTTTTTTTAAATGTGATACTGAAATATGTGGCCTCATGGCATGCTAGGCAAGTGTCCTGCCCCTCACCTGTATCCCCAACTCCACTTAGCTCCTTTTAATGACCCTTAAACTCATTCTCTCATTGTATAGTGTGTAGGTCCCTAAGAAATAACTCACTCCACACAGAATTTCACAAGAGACTAAGAATAACAGAATTGGCATGATCTCTCCTAGCAGTCAAGCTTCATAAGTCAAATCTTAATCAAAAAGCTCATTGTCAAAAGCTGAAAACACCCAACATCAGTCAAGACATTCTTTCCATGTGGATAAATCTATGTAGGAATTCGAAAGAGAAAGTCATTTGTTTTAAGAGCATTTGAAAGAAGGAATTGTTCAATAGTATGGGGCTAAAATAAGGTGGTATTGCTAGTGGGTTTATAAATATTTTTATGGACTCCAGCCTCTACATTGTTTCTTGCTAGAGGCAACCTTGACACTAAACCTGAGAAGTACTCAAAAATCAGATAAATATTTCTCCCTCTTCTCTGGAACGGGGTTGGGAACTATTCATATCTGTATCTTGGGAATCATCATTTTTTATGCATTTGTGCCCTCAGTCACTTTTCTGGCACACACATTTTTGTGGTTATTTTAGTACAATTAGTCAAGTTACAGTATTGTGACTTTGTATATCTGTGTTCTAATTCAATCGTAGGTTGAATCTCTTAATTTGATCATGTGGTTGAATTTCTCACACTTACTAGTTTCCAGGTCAGTGTATGTAATTATATAATTTGAAAACCTTACCCCATCACACTGTGTAACACATCATCAACATAAATTATTTCTGAGTCTCTAACATGCCAACCAAATTGCTAACATTTTTTTGTTTTTGAAATAGTTTACTAAATTATATTAATGATATGTATTCATTATTAAAATGTTAAAGAAGGGCTGGGGATGTGGCTCAAGCGGTAGCRYGCTCGCCTGGCATGCRTGCGACCCGGGTCCGATCCTCAGCACCACATACCAACAAAGATGTTGTGTCTGCCGAGAACCAAAAAATAAATATTAAAAATTCTCTCTCTCTCTCTCTCCTCTCTCACTCTCTCTTAAAAAATAAATTAAAAAAATGTTTAACACTTTAAAAAAAATGTTAAAGAAAAAAATACACCAATTTTAACACACACTGTTATTTGATATATTTTTCTGTGATGACATATTCATAATGACTTTGAATTAGAATTATGTTATAAACAAAGTTTTGTTTATTTTAACTCACATTATTATGATGACACTTTCTATTGCAATTACATTTTCTTTGAAGATCTGAGTTTAATGGTAGTATTTTATTGTAAACTACCAGTTAAATTTTTTTCTCCTTTCACCTCCTAAAAAGGAAGAATACTTGTTGGAAAAGATTGATTTAAATTGATTTAGCACATGATAAAATCCTGAGCTAGAGAGTGGGCTGGAAGAGGAAGAAAGAAAGCAAGCTCCTACTCAGGCTGTGGGGGAGTTTGAGCACAGAGGTACCTTGGCAGATGTGGAAAATAGAAGAGGAAAGAGGGTTTGGGTAAGGGTGATGTAGCTCATACTCTTTGAATTCATTKAATATCCTTGAGAGATGTGAATAAATAGTAGAATTTCCTTTGAATTTCTTTACTTTTCTTCAACTTATTGTTCTTAGACCGAATCTCATCTTGGCTTCAATAAGGATTAAATATATAATGCTGTAAGGTTTATTCTCTTGCATAAATTTTTATGTTTCTCTAATTATTTCTTTAAAGGCAGTTTATAAACAGTGGTTGTGATATAGATTTGTCCTCCAGAAAGTTTGGCTAATTTATTTATTTTTTACCAACAATGTATAAAGATACCTATCTTGTGGTGCCTTAAGCTAATGAATGTTTTAAGGTRTTTGTTCTTCTAGGTATAAACATTATTCAGACCATATATGAAGGGGGGAAAATTGCTCATAGTGATGGAATTAATGTTTACTAGTTGCTCTTGAATTTTATGATTTGATTTTTTAATATAATTATTTTTTTTTGAGGGACTGGGAGGTGACACTCTCCCCACTGAGCTACATTTCTAACTCTTTTTATCTTTTTTTATTTTGAGACAAGATCTCATGAAATTGCCCAGGCTAGTTTTGAATTTCGATTCACCTGCCTCAGTAGCTGAATAGCTGGAATTCTAGGAATATATCACTTTGCTTGGCTTTAAAGTAATTTATAAAAAAAAATAAAATTTGTTTTGAGCAGTTTTATTGATGTAGAATTCATATACCATAAACTTTACCCATTTAGAATTTACAATTTATTGGGCTTTCTTTCTTTCTTTCTTTTTTTAATGTATTCACGGATACGTACAACCCTCCTACCCCCAGTCAATTTTAGGTTTTTTTGTTTGTTTGTTTTGTTTTTAATATTTAAGGAATTTCAGCATCTTAGGGGAATTTGGCTCTTTGCTTCTTTCCAAAGGTGGATTTAGTGTAAAATAGTTGTCATTGATATATGCTCAGGAATAAATAAGGTATTTTATAGAAAGTTTCAAATGCTGTAATTGAGAAAGTGAAAAAGTGCCATCTTGAAAAATTTTAATTAAAAATTTAATATAAAAATTCTTTATGTCTTTTTATGTAGGTAAAAGGCCAACTTCAGGACAAAGCTTGGTTTCTGTTATGCCTGCTCAGAAAATCACAAAGCCTGCTGCTAAATATGGAATACCTTTAACATATAAGAAACATGGAGATAAAAAATTACTTGAAAAGAAACCACTTCAAAAATATAAACAGGTATGATCATGTTACAAACTCTGATTAGCAACAAATCAATTTGGTCTTATAGTAGCTCAGTTGAGTTATCTTGATATTCATGGGATTGTTTTTATTAATTATCAAGGAACATTACTGTTCTCCACTGTACTAGTCTTCTAATACTAAGGAGTCTTACAGAAGTCTTGCAGAAACTTTTAATAGATATATTAAGAAACTAGTTCGTGCAGTAAAAATAAAGTGATGTTATAAATGTAATCACTTTTGAATGACTTGAGKTGAACCATTTGGTTTGTACATGAAAGAAGTAAATATCTGTGATATACTTGATAAACATCTGGGGAAATTTTGTAAATGATTACTCACAAATTAAATCATAGAGCTGGAAGGAATATAGTCATACAGTCTACTCTATCATATTTCAGATGAAAACATTTAAGTTACATGCGCAAGAACCCAGTGTCAGTTGTAGAATATTTAATGTTTTTTACATGTCAGTATTGTATGCTGTGATATATGGGACCTGTTTGGGACTACGTATACATACACACACGTATCTGTATATATTTGTAGGAACAAGTTAAACTTCATAGTCAGAATAATCCATCACTTTGGTAAAAATCTGTCACAAAATAATTCYAAATGATTACTGTAAATGAGTCTTCAAATAAGTTATATAAGTCAGGATGGAGTCAGGAGACAAAAATTACACAGTGATTTGAACAGAGAAAATTAAAATATTTATTAACTATTTTTAGGGAAGTAACTTTTAAAGGGATAACTTTTTTCTGTGGTTGCATTACATATTGTTGAAATGAAATAATTTACGTTGGTTGTATTCTTACAAATGTCCTTTTAAAAAAATTCAGGTCCTGGATCCTAAATTCCTTGGAATATGTTCTTCTAAATAGAGTTCAGTAAAATGTGTGTTCAAAGTAAATTTATTTCATGGTTAATTTTTGAGATATATAGTTTTTACAATTGAAATCCATCTTAAGATTTGGAATATACTCATGTATAATATCTGCCCTCCCAGGGAAGAAAACTACTATTGGTGAGGGCCAGAGAATGCCATTATCAATGAGGAATACATACTTTGTTGAACTCTAGAAATAGAGTTATCTTATCTCTAGATGGCCATGTATTAGTCTGAGAGAACTTAGAATTTTGGTGAGCTGAACTAATGATATAATAGAAGGTTCATCACCTTTGAGCAGTATTGTAGTCAAATATATAATTTCTGGGGCTGGGGTTATAGTTCAGCRGTAGAGCGCTTGCCTGGCACATGTGAGGGCACTGGGTTCCATCCTCAGCCACAAAAAAAATAAATGAAAAATAAGTAAAGACATTTTGTCCATCTTAAAAATAGATATATAGGGCTGGGGATGTGGCTCAAGCGGTAGCCCGCTCGCCTGGCATGCGGGYGACCGGGTTCCATCCTCAGCGCCACATACAAACAAGGATGTTATGTCTGCCGAAAACTAAAAAATAAATATAAAAAAAAATCATCTCTCTCTCTCTCCCTCTCTCTTTAAAAAAAAAATAGATATATAATTGTTTTTGTCATGTATCTTTTAGAATCATATAATGTTATTTTTCTTAATGTTTCCCTCATTTTCAGTTAATATTTATTTATTATACAAGAACAGCATGCTGTGGAATTTTGAGATTCCATTTCCTAATGTTCTGCATAATTGATGCCATCTATCAAATATTCTGAATAATAGACAAGTGATTCAGATGATAGTTACAAATGTTTGGGCTTCAGGAGAAGTCATTGGTCTCAAGCTTTTTTAGGAAGATAAGCATTATTTTCTTAACCCTGACCATTGAAAACTAAATAGTATTAGAACTTGGAATATTGTATAGCTTATGTTAAGAACACTTAAAACTAAATTTCTTTGTACAGTAATGTGAATGTACTTAATTCCACAGTATTGAATCTTAAAAATAGTTAGAATGGTAAGTGTGGTTATATATTTTACCACAATGAAAAAATAGAAAAAAATAAAGGAAAATAAACAGAAAAAAAMCCCCAAGAAAACATAACAAATAAATGTATGAAGAAAATTTCAAATATTCTAACAGTTAAAAGAATTAAACAGGGTTGGGGGGAACAGTTACCAAATTTCTAAAGTATTTTAAGTATGATTCTTAAGGTTTTTTTCCTTGATTGTTATAGGATTTGTATTTGTTTAGAAGACTTCTTTTTCCCCCAGCAATTACAAAATATCTTTTAAATTTAGATTTACAAGACTTGCTGGAATTTTTAAATTTTTAGGTTGGAAATGGGGAATTTTTTTTTTTTGAAATGGGAAATTTATAAGGAAAACCATAACTACTTAACCAAAAGATGAGTTTTGTTGCAATACTCAGCATTTCATCAAAATATTTGCGTATCAGAAGACTTTCTTTGCTTTAGTTCCTRTAATCACAGCTTGTTTTTTAGTTAACAGCTAAAACAAGAGTGGTTATTAAGCCACCAGAGGGAGCTCCATGAATACATTTCAGTACTTTGGTTCTGATTTTTAAGTGTAGATGTTTTATGTTACTATATTTTTTCTTCAGTGTATAAATAGTGTTCTGAAAATACCTACATGATCTCAGAGGAACAGCGTGGCATTTTTATTTTCAGATTACTTTGATGTTTTATATGTAAAAAAAGATGAAAATGTCTACCTTCATGTAACTTACCTAAGATTATATCTTAGGTAAGCCTTTTCTTCTAGTCCCATACTAGTATAAAATCTAGTCATTTATACCAAATTGCTGTATTATTCAAATTCATACTTTTTAATTATTTGGTTAAATATTGTATCTGTGATTCACAAATATACTGGTGCTAAATTGGCTACATGAAGTAACATTTAGAACTTGTCAAAATATATAATGTAGAGCTCTGAGTCCAAAAATTATGACTCAGAAACTCTTAGAAATCATGTATTTTTTGTTGTGTTGTTTGTTGATTTGGGTTTTTGTTTTGTTTTGTTTTGTTTTTGTGTGTGTGTGTGTGTGTGTGCTTTTGCACACGTTCATACCCAGTATATAAACCCAAGGGCACTTTACCACTAAGCTGTATCCTCAGACCATTTTATTTTATTTGTTTAATAACAGAGTCTTGCCAAGTCACCCAGGCAACTTTTAATCCTTTGAACTTTCAATCCTCTTTCATCAGCCTGCTAAGTTATTTATTGGATTACAGTGTATCCAGCAGATATGTATTTTTAAAAAAGAGATTTATTGAGATATATTTCACATACGGTATAATTCACCCACTAACAGTTTGCAGTTAAATAATTTGTGGCATATTCCCAGATTTAGGTAGCCATTTTTCCAATTTTAGCACATACCAATCTCCTCCCAAAAGAAATTCTCCCATTAGCAGTTACTAATGGGAGAAGGACTCCTGCCACAACCCTAGGCAATCACTAATCTGTTTTCTGTCTCTACATATTTGCTTATTCTGATTCTTCCATATAAATGAAATAGTATAATAGGTGGTCTTTTATGCTGGCTTCTCTTAGTCAGCATAGTATTTATAGGTTTATCCATGTTTTAGCATGTGTCACTGTTTTATTTCTTTTTGCCAAATAATATTTATTTGCGTGGAATACTTATACTATATATTTTCTTTCTACAGAAGATGATTATGTAAGAGTTTTTGGAGTTTATAGAATAAATATATATATCTACTTTGTGTACAACAAGGGACTTGAAAAATTGTGTTCTATATATGTACTATGAATTGAAATGCATTCTACTATCATATATAACAAATTAGAATAAGTAAATAAATTTAAAATAAAAAATAAAAAGAAAAGAAATAAACCTATATAACATATAATATTTCAAAGCATTTGCTGACACTTAAGTGTTTTAAGGTAATGAGTACAGTGTGCAGTGCCGCAGTTGTGGCCAGTGATGCTATATAATTATTTGTGTTTACCTAAATCTGAAATTTAACAAAATCAAGATAATCAGTTATATATTGTTTTTTAAAGACAACCAAATTGTTTTTGAGTATTCATATCAACAAAGGAGGAAAATCAGAAAACCGTGGAAGTTGAAAACCATGATTATTATTGGAACCTAATAGCATTTCTAACAATGAAAATCAACTTTAGTGCTCTGATTATGGCATTGTTTTATATATATAAGTGTGTGTGTGTATGTTTAACAAAGTTCCTGGGTAACACTTGTCACCATTTTACTACCCCCCCTACCTTTGATGCTGAGGTTTGAACACAGGGTTTCACATATTCTAGGCCAGCACACTACCACTGATCTATACCCCTACTCCCCGTATCCACTAATTTAAATTCTTTATACATAGAACATGCCTGAAAATGTTAACTGAGTCTTTAAAATATTATGAAGAGCATTATCTACAATTTTTATTTCTTGTGTTTCAAAAATAGTGTCTCCAGAGGTCTCTCATAACTATTTTTAAACTGGGGGTTTCTATCCACTAATTGTGACAAAATCATTTTAGTGAATAAAGTGTAGTGACTTTTTATGAAACTTTGGACATGTGTATACATGTGCATACACTTCTTCTCTAGGTTCAGGTGGGAACATATTTCTTACTGTGGGTTGCTTTTAGAAAAAGTTTGAAAGCCACTATTCTTTAAATCTTTGAGCACGCGTTTAATCAATTCTAGTGTCTCTTTCTGGGTTAAGTGGTAAGGTACATGGTTAGTTTAAATGGAAGTTGAATTGAAATAACTAGTCAAAATTGGAGGTTAGGAGTTAGGGAYTAGTAATACAGTGAGCATGTGTGATATGATGGTTCTGGCGACTCACTGCTTGGATTATTTTGTCAGGAAGTCATGAGAGTGGAATCAAGTTTTAAACTTAGTACTATTTATCACATTTTAGCTTTGAGGCAAAATATTGTAACAGTAAAATAGATTGGTTTATGGTGGTCATTTAGTAAAAATGCCAAAGCATATTAGAATCATTCTCTTTTTATAAGTTTATGAACCAACTAGATGGTTTTATATATTTTATTATTTTCTTAT